TCAGTTTTTTTCTTAGTATTAACATTTCTTACAGCTTCACCGTATTCAGACTGGGAAACTCACATTGGCACTCCAGAGACAAAGATGGTATCTCCTGCCTCTGAATTTCAGAATCGGTGCTGGCTAGGGGATTCTGGATATTGTAGTACAGAAATGCAATTTCTCCTAACCCTGGTCTCATCTCCTGCCTCAGAATTTCAGAATCAGTGCTGGCTAGGGGATTCTGGGGGTTGTAGTGCAGAAATGCAATTTCTCCTAACCCTGGTCTTCAGCAGCCAGTATATACTAACAATGTCATCAGAAAGGTTATGACTTCTTTATTATAGCTGTTGCTACATGCTGTCAAGACGCTTGTGACTTATGATGACTCTGGCAAGGTTTTCAAGGTTTATGAGCTGTTCAAGGGAATGATGTACTGTCGCCACACCCCATGAGTTGCTATGGCCCTGCATGGACTTGAACCCAGGTTGTTTGTATCCTACCCCAACACTATCCACTGCACCACACTGGCTCACATTTATTTGTTAGTTCTGTATCCCAACCTTTCTTTAGGGAGTTCAAGGTGTATAAGGCTTTGCATGTCTCTGTTTTATCCCCAACAACAACTTTTTGAGGTAGGTCAGGTTGACAAACCCAGTAGGTTCATGGCCAGGTATGAACCTCAGTTTTTTGCAGCCCGCCACTCTAACCACACTGGCTGCAAAGTGAAGTCCCTTGTGTTCAAGGGGCTTTGCTCACAAGAGTGTTTCAGGATATGCATGGGAGAAATCCTGTGTAATAAACATATGTAACTTTATTTATTTATTTTATTTATATATTCGATTTTTATCCCGCCCCTCTAGACAATGTCTACTCGCTTGAATTAAAGAACTTCGTAATGAGAGTGAAAGAGGAGAGCGCAAAAAATGGTGTGAAACTCAACATAAAAAAAAACTAAGATGATGGCCACTGGTCCCATCACTTCCTGGCAAATAGAAGGGGAACATATGGAGATAGTGACAGATTTTACTTTCCTAGGCTCCATGATCACTGCAGATGGTGACAGCAGCCACAAAATTAAAAGATGCCTGCTTCTTGGATAGAAAGCAATGACAAACCTAGACAACATCTTAAAAAGCAGAGACATCACCTTGCCGAGAAAGTTCCACATAGTCCACATTTTTCCAGTAGCGATGTATGAAAGTGAGAGCTGGACCATAAAGAAGGCTGACCGCTGAAAAATTGGTGCTTTTGAATTGTGTTGGAGGAGACTCTTGAGAGTCCCCTGGACTGCAAGGCGATCAAACCTATCCGTTCTGAAGGAAATCACTGTCTGGAAGGATAGATCCTGAGGCTGAGGCTCCAATACTTTGGCCATCTCATGAGAAGAGAAGACTCCCTGGAAAAGACCCTGATGTTGGGAAAATGTGAAGGCAAGAGGAGAAAGGGACGACAGAGGACGAGATGGTTGGACAGTGTCATCGAAGCTACCAACATGAATTTGACCCAACTCTGGGAGGCAATGGAAGACAGGAGGGCCTGGTGTGCTCTGGTCCATGAGGTCACGAAGAGATGGACACACCTTAACGACTAAACAACAACAACTCCCTTGAGATAATCAGTTTAGCCTAGTGGATGGGGAATCATAAGGAGTGGGTTTCTGCTCTTTGGTTTTGTGGTTCAAAATACAGTAGTTGGAGAAGCATTGATTTGCTTTGGATAGACAGCAGAAACATAGGCTACAGTCACTGATTTAAGTGGTGTATGATGGATTTAAAAAGTCAAGGTTCTGGAGAAAATAGCAATCTGAATCCTGGAAGTACAGGACAAAGATTTTATGGGGAATTTTGTTGATCAACAGTGCAACAATGTTTTTCTAAAGCATGGAGCTACAAGGACACATGTCTATGAAACATTCAGCTTGAGGAATATTTGTTGCTGCTGATATGAAAAGCAAGTTTAAACAAAAAGAAAAATTAAAACATGTATCAATGTGTTTGAAATGTCAATTTAAAATTTAGCCTCAGATATTGGTGCACACTCATCCTTCAATAAGGTCCTGTCAAGTGAGCCCTTTTGGTCAGCACACTATCATTAACTTATCAGATCCTCCTGAATACCACTTTTGTCCTTTGTTAAATTGGCTAATAAATTGGAATACAATTACAATTCATTTTCTTATTACAATGCTACATATACATCACATCTGAGTTTCATCTACCCACATACCAAGGGAAAGGCAGCTGTACCCTGTGATGCGTCCTTAAGGTACTGACGGACATACAGTGTAGGAAACAATATTTTCCAGAGGATCCAGCTGTTATTGGGGATTAGAAAATGGGTGGTGGTGGCAGGGAGGAGCAACTATCATTAAATGGCCTCAATACATCAAGCTGCGACCCCTAACTTAGTTCTGGTCAATGGTGTTATGAAGGTAGAATTTGGAGGCAGAATCCAGGGGCTGCCTTCAGTAACCATACAGGAGCCTCCCTCCCCAAAGCAACAGGGTTGGTTTGTCACCTTTTCAAATAAGTAATTACACACTAAAGAGGGGTAAAAGAGAGGGGCCTTATGCCCATTTGGATCAGAATCTATAATTATCACGTGCACCATTAATATATGCTTGGTTAACAAATTACACATCCAGCCCAGTCCTATAACTACAGTACTCAGAATAAACCCCTATTTAAGTTCTGTATTAGTCATTCTCAGTTAACTCCCCACATTTCCATGTAGCACGACTCCTAGTTCAGTTGGAGATAAGCTCTAGGAAGTTCCATGAAGGTTGCTGTCAGATAACAGTGTGGAGGATAGCAATCTTCTAGGATGGGACCAGTTTGAGATAAGCTGTTAATGGAAACACTTAATTCTAAGCATTTAAAACGATACACATGCAAAATACGAACACTTACGCTCAACATAAGGACTCAAGCAAGCATACGCTCTGGTGTGTGCACAAGCCCCATTTATTGACTTAAAATGGTTTGACAAAGAATTTTCAGGGGGCAGCCCAGTTCGTCTGTTGCAACAAACACAACAACCAGTCACGTAGTGGTCCATTGGTCCAGATAGGCGGGGTACAAATCAAATTAATAATAATAATAGAGCTCTCATTTATTACGGGATTAATTTTGACAGAGTTTAACCATCAGAAGCATTCGTCGTTGCGATCCTCAACATCATCATCACATAATGGGAGGGGGGGGGACCCTGGACTATCGTGATTGCTGTTCTTTTTCCCGTTGGGTTTGAAGCTTATTTCTGAAGGATCAATCGTGAAAAAAGCAACCTTTCACTCATCCGTCCACCCTTCTGCCCACGGCATGCCTTTCCTCACTTCGGAATTTACACGTGGGCGTTTTACGCGTCTCTCGGAGAGACTTGTGACTAATGAGGCACCGGACAATGCCAGGACTATCAAGAGCCCTGTGTGAATAGGAGACAAGAGACATTCATGCAGCTATTAGGGTTTTTGGAAACCAAGCGGTCATTGTCCCCCGCCATCAACAATCGCTTTTTGGAGCATCCCCAAAATGGGAATCACACAGTTGAATGGAAACAAGGTGCCCCTGAATGGGAACATCCTCTACTCCAATATGAGCGCGCGCGCACATACACACACACCCCATACACACCTATTTTCTGAATGGCACAACTAGAGCCAAAGTCCCGAGACTGGGCAGCGGAAGGCGAGAGAAGCAAAACTTGCTTCGCCTCCTCGCCCCTTGCCCTCCAGGACCCGACGCCTTCGTAATTCCTTTTTCCTCCGCCAACAGGCGTCCTCGCCTCCGCGTCCCCCTCCACCAGCAACACAAACGCCGCTCCCCCCACCCAAGCCTCCAAGAACGGGTCCTTTCATACCGTCCCAATCCCCCCTCCGTTATGCCTTCTGCAGACGCGACACCGTTATCAAAAAAGAAGCGGCTGCCTCCCCTCTCCGGAGCCGGAGCGAGGAGCGCGGGGGGCCTCTGGGAGACGTAGTCCTCTTTCCTTGGCTTCTGAGGGCCGCTGCAGGAAAGGAGACTACGTTTCCCAGCCACCCTCCCGACGTTCTCCCCCCCTTCCACTGGAGAGGCCGAGACGTCAATCAGGTGGCGTCACAATGTGTATAGAACGTTCAGAGATTCTATTTTTTGTTTTGTTTTGTCCTCCCCCTTTTTGCACGTAAACGCTCCCTTCCTCCCTCGCAGGGGTGCCGCTCGTAACCCGCGCTGTAGGGAGGGCATCGCGAGGCAGGAGGGCTGGAGGCAAGTGTCATGCGGGGAGTGGCGCGACTCGTGGAGGAGCAGAGCGGCGGCAGGGCTGCCTGAAGGGGCGGGTGGTGGTTGCTTTTTTTTCCCCCTCCGGGAGGGGAGGTGTGGGGTGGGTTTTTTTTTTTTGGCCATCGTTGCTGCTCCTGATCTGGAATGTTACAAGGGAGATCGCAGCCAAGCTGATCGCTTGCAGGAGCAGCAGCGGCGGCGGCGGCAAAAGCTGGGAGTCGGACGGAAAGGCAGGAACTCGAAAGGCTGGCTGCTGTTGCTGCTATTGCTGCTGCTGCTGCTGCTGGTGGTGCCGAGCACGCCGGGCGATGAAGCGCCGAAAGCTGGCCGTGGCAGCCGGCTTCTGCCTCTCCTTCTTGCTGGGCACTTTGCTCAACGTCTTATTCATCCCGGCCTTTGATCCCCAGCAGCAGCAACAGCAGCAAAACGCGGGCGTCACGCACTCGCTGGCCGGCTCGCCTCGAGACCCGACGGGGGAGGCGGCCCGGAGCGCCGGCGGCCGCCGCGGGGACTTAACCCGTCAGATCCGAGAGCGCTACGAAGAGGTGCTGCGGTACCAGCAGCTGCCGCCGCCGCCGCCTCGGGAAGCATCGGCGGTGCCGGCCGCCTCGGCCGGGGCTCGGCTGCTGATGAGACCCCTGGAGAGGCGGCTGATGGATCTCGCTCCGCCTCGGCTCTCCTCCTCCTCCTCCTCCTCCACCGCCTTCTCCTCCTCGTCCACCGAGCTCAGTCCCAGGGATCGCCCCTTATCATCCAAAGCCCGGGCGCAGCCCCTGGCGGATGGGGTCCTCCGCCCCGAGGCGTCCTGGCATCCCCGAGCCACGCTGGACCTTTCGCTCAGCCCGCTCCGGCTGGGATGCCGAGACATCCGCAACGTGACCAACGTGCATTACCTGGGCTCCGGCTACACCAAGGCCGTCTACAAAGCCGTGCTCAACCGGAGCCTGGCGGTGGCCCTCAAGTCCGTCGATTTCGGGGGTCACGACATCGACAATTGCGTGAAGCTCTACCGTTCCCTGGAAGACTGCTATCGGTTGGCCTCCTACAAGATCGTCAAGGAGATGGTGCTTCTGCAGAGGTTACGGCACCCCAACATCCTCCAGGTAAAGAGGGCAAACCCCCCCCCCCCGGAAGGACCTGATTCCGAAGGAGGTGA